AGGGAGTGAAGAGGATGAAGAAACATAAGGCTAATGATCCGGTGGACGAAGTTTGGTCATGTAAATTGCTTCAAGGTCCTCGATGGGCAAAGAGTCGAGCATAAGCTGGAAGCAGGTTGGGGTGGTCCGAGCACCGACTAGTCGACCCAACCTCCTCTTGTAGCCTGGGAACAACCAGTTGAACAACTTGCACAGGGAGTCGCCCGTGCTGCTCCGCCCGTGGCACAAGTATCTCTAATAAATATAGAGTGATAAAGTATGAGTCCTTAAGGGCTCTTCAAGGCCATACCAATTCCATTCTGTTGGGGTTTTGAAGCTCGATTCATGGATAATGGCCAAAGCCTATCCTTAATATTTACCTCATCATGGGTTAGGCCTTTTGAGAAGGTTGCTACGAAGTCAACGACTAATTGCGCCGTGTAATCATTGTTATGGGTATGTATGGGATATTAAGCTTGCTTAATTTAACTGAACACTTCAAGATCCTCCCAAACTGATCTGGCCTTGATAATAATGATTTGAGCATATGGTCAGTTAACATGTGGATCATATTGGCTTGAAAATAAGATTGTAGTTTTCTTGCAAGAAAATTAATGCTAATGTAAGCTTCTCCATGATTATATACCTTAAGTCTGCATTTTTTAGGATTAAGCTTAAGGTTAAATCTTCTAAGTATTAAAAGTTTCTTTTAACTATTCTATATGCTCTCTAAGTGATTTACTTTTAATTAGGGATATCATCAATTTACACTTCAATATTTATTCCTTTTTTGAATTTTTAATATAATATCCATTAGCCATTGATAAGTCACTCAAGTATTTTTAAAGCTGAAAGATATGACATTTTAACAAAAAACTCTTTTTCTAGTAATAAAAGTAGTTTCTTGGTGTCGGTGGGATGCAACTTGAATTGATGGTATCTCAAGAATGCATTAAGAAAACTCATAATGAAATGTCTAATGTCTAGGTTGACCACGACATCGATCCATAGCAAAAGATGGCTATCATTCAGACAGACTTCAATTAAGTTGGTGAAGTTCAAACACATGCTCTATTTGTTCTTTGCCTTATGAACCATCACAACATTTGCTAACTAATGCAAATATTTTATTTCATGGATGAAGTTAAAAGTCTAGCAATTTTTAAATTTTCTGCAGGATAGGCTCAACCAGGATGATAACCACAACTCTCATCTTCTTCTTAATGGGTTTAGCACCGGAGTTGATATTGAGTCTATTTCAAGCGTCGTTGATGTTGACTTCGGGCATTTCATCCACGGTCCAAGTGATAGATTGTGGTGAACCCATAGGGTTGAGACATTTACGTCGTGAACAAAGCTTTAATAATTTGGCTCAGGTTTGAAATGATCTGAACATAGTTATAGGGTGTTATATATTATAGGGTTGAGGCTATGTATTATTTGTGTTCTTTGCTCAGGTTTGAAATGATCTGAAGTATTCTTTCTTGTTCTTCTTCTTAGATGGATACTTGCTTTGCTGTCTCAGTTGCTTTTAAAATGATCCCCTTATTTGTTTCGAGCTGAAGGACCACATGTTCCCCATAACTCACAGGTAACACATTTGAGATTAGACTAGATCACCTTGAATGGTAATAATATCTCATTTCCCAGAAAATGTGATAGCTATATGGTAAGTGGATGCTTTGAATGCATTGAGTACAGGCCTACCCAAGATGACATTGAAAGTGGTTAGGGCCTCCATCAATATGAAATCTGTCTTAGTTGTATAATGCTTATTAACTTGTCACAAAGTTAATGGCAGGAAGGTGATTTAACAAGTTTTTTTTTTCTTTCTCCGAAAAATCCATTCAACATACTAGAAGTAGTTGTTTAGCATTATTCATGTTCATCTTCTCAAAATCTCTTCCAAAGAGAATGATGTCATAAATCCTTGTGTCTATCAGTATGCTTCTGATTTAGTAGTTGACTATTAACGCAATTACTACAACCACGTCGTTAATAGATTTATGTTATCGAAGTTGGCTTCCATGAAGGTGATGAGTGAATGAATTGGAGAGGCTGATCTGGTCAGACCAATGGAGTAAATGTCCGCTATCATTAATCGCCTCAAGCTTGGCCATCGTGAGGCTTCCGATCCATCTCCACCGAAGATAGCAGACACCACTTGCACTATTCTAGTAGGGACCTATTCATTGGCAGCAACTTCAATATGTGCTTTGGCTTTTCTTTGGGTGTTGGCTTCTAGCGCTACAAGTTTCTTTAGTTTCCTTAGTAGGATCTTTTTGTTGATAAGATTCTGAAAGTGTCATCACTCGGTATTATTCCCATGGTCACCATGATACTTGTTTGGATTGCGCTGAAAAATTTTAGTTTTCATCAATGAGGTTCTCTTGAAAAAGTTTTTGATTTGGATGGATTCTGCAACTTTGTCCATCAACACTCTCAACCAAGTTATTTCTATCAAAGAGGATAGAGATTGTTCTTGCCATCTTTCTGGTCTTCTCACGACCAACCTTCGATCGGGTTCCTCCAACTGTTGCCATTAAAAATGCTTTCCAGGAGAACTAGGATAATCTTTGCCAACAAATTTCTTCTTTGAATCTTAGTGTTTGTGCAAATTTTTCTAGAATTTACCCTATGATTTCCTAGTTCTAGAAGGACTCGACAAAGAATTGTATTCTTCTATTGAGATATGCTTATTGACCTGCTCTAAAGGTTTGGCTAAAGTTTGTCGTTTTGCAAGCCAAGTGCATATCTCAATGGGCCTCGTGTAGGCTTTGAGCCACCGCTACGTGAGCGGCGGTGGGATGGAGATCTCCAACGTGAAGTATATTTTGTTGGAAACAAGTGATAAAACTTTTCAAGCATTTAGATGTGTTTATGAATCTTTAATAAAACTTGAGAACTTTTTTATGAGCTCTTAGCACTAGAGAACTAAGGCACGAACATTCATTTGAATTCACCAAAGGAGGTAATAACTTCTATCAGCAAGTTATTGAACAAAAACAGTGCTACAGGGTCATGAGAAATAAATGACATTTAAACGATTCATTTATTCATAATAAATATAGTCGATTGTAAAGAAGTAACATGACTAGCGGGATCTATTCTCCCTTTATAAGAATTGAAGGAAGATATTTTAAACTTTTTGGGTGCTTCAGGTTCAACAATCTCTCTCGAGAATGTATTCTCAAATGGTCGTCGTCTTCTTCTTCTCCATCTTACTTCATGATCATCCAACACTTCTAAGGTATTCTCTTCTAGACCATGTGACTAATCATCATCTTCTTCTAGCATCGGAGTAAGAGGGCGTCCTTACCTTCATAGGACTACAAAAAAAAATGATTAAATAAATGCTATAATATAGACCGCACAGTTAGAAGCCTGTAAGAGATTTGTTGTCGAAAAGATATCATCATGAGTATCGTGTAAGTCATAAATAGGCATAAGTAATGATGGGTTAGAGTCCCATTTCTTCTATCATTTAGGCAACCTTGAAGGATCTGTAAATGGACTCGATAGTGAAGCTTGGTAGATGCAAGCGTGCTCAGCGGACAAGTTTGATGTATACAGGCGAGCTCGGCGGAGGAGCTGACACAAATGAGTTCAATAAATACGGGCGAGCACAGCTAAGGAGCTCACCAGGTTCTCTCAAGGATTAATTTCTATAACTATGACTTCGGTAGATGTGGCTGACAAGTACGATCTTTTAGCTATAGGATCTTGGTGCTTGATATTATTAGTATTAAGAAAGGCCTAATCCAAATAGGCCCAAAAGGCCTATTTATGTGCGGGCTTTCCAAGTAACTTAGGAAAGTCACTTTAGAATGTACATGTGTGTATTATGTTAATAATTTAAAAATGATATAGGAGTATCTAATATAAATACATTCATAATCATTCAATAGATTTGCTATATCTCTCTCATGGTTATTTTAAATGTTATAATGAAATTAAAACGTATTTGAAAACAAATAAAATTTAATATAGTCACTAAGAACATATTTTATTGCAAGTATTTAGGATCCATTCTTGTTTAAAATAAAACAATGAATTTTAATTATAAATTATATTTGCTCAAAATTTTGTACTAGAAACATTTGGGATAATTACATGTAGACCAAGAGACATTGATATTTTTAAATCAATCACTTGATTTATTTTTTGAACAACCGAACTGGTGTATTAATGCGTGTTCCAACCAAACTAGTGAGAATGTGATAAAAAAGAAAAAATATGGGTTGGGTTTAAAGGGCATGCTCAGGTAGGGTCCAGAAGAGCAATTATCTCATCTCAAATTCAGATTTTTTAGTTATATGAGAAAATAATTTGATATTTTAGCTTTCATGAAATATCATTTTTACTCTTGAAATATAATTTTGCTCTTCGTTATCTTAACTCTTTTCACATTGGGTCTAGAGGTACATTTTGCTGTTAGAAATTCATGTTTAACATTTATGACACAAATTCTAAAAATACATAATAGCCAACATCTTTTAAATTCATGATTTTTACATATCTATAATAAAATAACACATACCTGTATTCATGATGATAAAATTTGATATTGAAGAGTTGAATTTCTCTCTCTAATCCCTTGAAACTTTATGTATTTTCTGATGGAAAGAAGTGTACGGGGTATATTAGAAGGAGAGATGACCCGTTCTCTGAATTATGTTTTATTTAACCACAATTCATTCTCTGAATTATGTTTTATTCTAACAAAATCAATAGGATTTATGATAATTTAATAAATTAATTGATTTTATTATTAAAATCAATGACATAACTTTGTAACCTTTATTCATTTTAGGGGTTACATGAGTTACGAAAATAAATATCATAAGTTATCATAAGTTATGACATAAGTTATTAAATAAATAACATAAATTTTCATGAGTTATAAAATGAATACCGTAAGTTATATTGTAAATAAATTTTTCGGGAACAGCTAACTTATTTTAAATTAATATTGCTGAGGCATAACTTTTTATTAATAACAATAAATTTTTGTCATACAGGTGTGGCATCAAGGAATGGAGACGGTGTGAGAAGATAATGGCATTCTGATGGGTGGTGGCATCGAGGATGAGTAAGTAATGTGGCATTTATGTACTTCTTAATGGCCAATTTAGAATTTTAAACAAGGGCTAAACATATTAAAATAATATTATAAAAATAATATATATATTTTTTATATATAGATAAGATGCATATATTTATGTATATAAATTTAAGTTTAGATACTAGAAGTGCAATCAAAATTGAGTGATATGTATATAGATTTTTTTTTTTTTTTTGATAATTGGGAATTGGTTATGTAATTAAAATAATTTTTGGATTTCAAGCTGAAATAAATATATTTTATATGATAACGTTGACTTTTATAGCCTTTGAGGGCTTAAAGAGCCAATTCTAGCCTCACTGACTTCATTTATAGTGCGGGATAGCATCAAGCGGTGTATTTTTTTTTTTTTTAATTATTCGTAAAGAATGGGTGAAGTCTATTATATGAGCTTCCAGTCACCCCATATGTCTAATTATTCGATGACTGCCCTCACTACCGTTAAACTGGCCAGAGGGGGATTCAAACCCGTGACCTGAAGGGACTTAAGACCTTTGAAAATGCTGCTCTACCAACAGGCCACGGTTGACGGTACATTTCAAAGAATGTCCGAAGACTATTATACGAACCCCGACCATCCCTAATGCGCCTAATTATTTGAGTACCTCACCCTAAATGCATGGGGAATCGACTAATCTGAGGGGACTTATAATGGACGAACATATATATATATACACACACGCGCGCGCGCGCGCCCACATATGACCATAACAAAATCTCAAGGTATGACACAATTCTCGAGAAAACGTTTAGATCAATGAACATTTAAACTTCAATTAGAAGTCATCCAACTCTTTGATTTTAGCAAACTTATAGTCAAACTAACCGGCTTGACAAGACAGACTCGATGGTATCAAAATTGGTCAAATGCAAGTCAAATCAAGCTCAAATCAAGCCATTAAACCACACTTGGAAACTTTCTAAATATATTTGAAAGGTCAAACAAATGCTATATCTGATAAACTTATAATTGAATCGAGCATTTCGACAAGACGAATCCAACGAGTTCAAAAACACTCAATTCCGACATCATTGAAACACTCACATGTTCATTAAATGTCATTTGATTAAGAGAATCTTTCTGGGCCGTTCGATCAAAGTGATTTATATTTCAACATTATTTACACCCAGAGCTCCATAAATAGAGCCCCATCTCTCTCATGAGAGGGGGAAGAAAAGTTAGAGATCTAAGAAAGAACTTGAAGCTTTGAGAAAGAGCTGAAGTACAACACCACTACCACTGACTACCGTAAAAAACCACTGACGTCTGTCGACCAACACCTACAGTCGTCGACTTTAGCCTATCTCCATAGACTACCGTTGGTCTCCGCCAACCACCGTCAAACAGCTTCGACCGGACGTCGCCAATCGCTATCGTTCGTCGCCCGTTCCTAGCAATAAATTCATCAGCACGTCGACGTTGTAACTTGAAACACTCAATAACACTTTCTCATATGTAGGATAAGTGACTGCAACTGTAATCATCTTTTATAGTGGAGCTCCTCAACTGGGTCAGACCATGTGGTTTTTCCCTTTCTGGGTTTTCTATGTAAAAACTTTTGGTGTCATTATTAGTTGTTTCTTCTCTTTTGAGTGTGTGTTGAACCTTCGTACCATGCTAAGACGATAATCTGTTACTCTCCTGCTGCAAATTTTTTAGCACACATCATATATAAACATACATACATACATACATACATACATACATACATATATACATACATATATATCTCTCTCTCTCTCTCTCTCTCTCTCTCTCTCTCTCTCTCTCTCTCTCTCTCTCTCTCTCTCTATATATATATATTCTAATTGTGAGGTTTTATGTTTGAAAAATCAATATTGCATATATTAGCATATGACTCTTTTATAAAATCTAGAGGTGTGAGAGCCAACCTCAACATCTCACTTATTTCCCCACTTGTATTGTGAGATGAGTGACATCAAACTTGAGGGTGGAAAGAGGGATTAGAGCAACATTGGCATTAAGATATAAGAAAATTAATTAATAAAAATAAATAAAAAAATTCTAGAAATTATTAAATCATTTGCACTCACATATTCTCATATTCATTCTATCAGCACTTCATCAATTGCACAAAATGGGACATTTGACTGATGAGGAATCATGCATATATTTTGATTTTGCCTCAATTTTGACCGACTTTACATGCATACATGCATTAAACCACATGTATGAGCATAAATAAAATAAAATAGAAATTAATAATAAGTCAAATACTATATAATTTATTTTAGGTAGATGCAATAATGCATTTCATTTCCTAAGTTGCTCGATCTATGCAGTCTAGCTTTAAAACTCAAATAATTCTCTTAAGTTCCATTGCCCTCTTAGATTAGATTTGAGTTGTTAACTCATATTAATAATATTCACCTTTGTTTTAAGTTTAAGGCAATTTATTTACCCATTATATGACATAGGCTCTAACAAATTAGAATTTATGCTCAATCTTAAGTAGTGGGATTGTAAGCCCCAAATTTATAATAAATTGATAAATCAAAATTTTGAAATTAAATCTCAATAGAAAAACATTAAGCCCAATTATAGAATAGTATGAAGTATCAAAGGGCCTCTCAGTATCTGATGCTTCTCCATGCCCTGTTTTGCCTCTTTAAAACCAATGTTCTAGATTTGAATCACACTACAGGAATAGATAAAATTAGCGTATGATATTTGTGTCAGATATTTCCAACGCAAATATTAGCATTGGATTTGCGGTTATTAAGTAGCGAGAAATAATTTATGACATTTACATCATAATTAGTGTTCTATTTGCGTCGGATATTTCTTTGGTATAAGTGTTCCGAAAATGGCCAAACTTCTTTTGGATTTGCGATGAATTTTGATTCAAGTTTGTGTCGAAAAAATAGCAAAAATAGTTTATTTGTTAGCATCAAATTAAACCGAAGCAAATTTGATTCGGTTTTAGCAAAAATAGTTTATTTGTTAGCATCAAATTAAATCGAAGCAAATTTGATGCAAATCTCACACAAATAAACTAACTTACTTAGCTTGCGCGCCTCAATTTCATTTTCTCTCCGCATCCCGCTCATCTCTCCCTGTACCCAAAAGCCTCGTTTCCACCTACCGCGTGACTCCTCTTTTCTCATTTCCTCTTCCCTTTCCCTCTCCCCCTTCTCACGGGTTTTCTGGCCTTCGGGAAGAATCTCCACAGTACAGTTGCCATTAGAGCTAGCTCGGAAGATGACGTACGTGTGGCTTACAGAGACCTTCAAAACTCCCATAGTTCTCATCTTCAGCTAGAGCTAGCTCGGAAGATGACGTACGTGTGGCTTATAGAGACCTTCAAAACTCCCATAGTTCTCATCCTTCAGCTCTGCTTGAATAGTTCTGTTTTATTTATTTTTTTTTTTTGCTTTAGTTATGAATGTTCTTACTGGACATTTACAGTAGAATGTACCTTGGTGAATGTTCTTACTGGACATTTACAGGAGAATGTACCTTGGTGAATGCTTTTTGCTTATGAGATTGTTGTTGTGGATAACATTAGAGAGAGTTCACGAAAAACTTGAATTATGAAGATTAACAATAGAGTTTAAATGTTTTTGTTTGAGTAGATATAAAACTAAATACATTAAATGCAATTTTAGTAGTAATGGATCTAGTAGCGGGGTTATAACAATGGATGATAAAGTCATTAAAAGGAAGAAACATTTTAGATATGTTGGGTCAACTGTTCAAAATGATGGTGATATAGATGGGGATGTTATTAGTAAAATTCAAGTTGGATGGTTGAAGTGAAGGAATGCATAAGATTTGTTATGATGGTTAACCCGAATGCATAAGACCTATTGTGCTAAGGTGGATGAATGGGCTTTACATTAAGAGACAAAATTTAAAACGAATATATCCACGAAAGAGTTGTAATAGGTCTAATGACAATACAATATTAGAGAGTGTCACCTTAGATGATTTGGTCACATCAAACGTTGACTAACTGATGACCCAATTAGGAGAGTAAATGTTTGAGATTTGTCTTAATTTAAGAAAGAAAGATGTTCCAGATTTAACACTCAATAGGATACAACGGAAAAAAAATGATTCATTTGGCCAACCCTACTTAAATTATCATACACCTAACCTTAAATTTTCATATTTATATTGCCCAAGTCTTTCATTTTTATTTTTTGTAGTATAATTGCACTGATTTGTAAAATTACATGTATGTTACAGATGAGTTTCTATAATTTGATAGCTTGGATGTATTCCATTTTATATCCAGGATGAATAAGATTCACAGATGAGTTATTGAATGACGTTGATGAATTTGTGTAGGTGACATCACAATTGCCCCTCTATTGTTCTGAGGGTAAGTTTTGATGTATTTGTGCGAAACACAAAAACGAAGCACTTCTGCGACCCTGAAGAAGTTGAGTTGGAGCTTTACCACAAGAGATTCAAACTTAATTGTTGGTACTTGACTGCGCATGGTGTGCAAGAACCTGAAGTTCAATTTGATCAAGGAGGTGCCTTGACAAGTTATGCCCCCCCCCCTTAAGAGGAATTTGATCCTGTCACATATGAAAAAATGGTCCATGATGCTTAGAGAGCTCAATTTGTTGGGAACATTCAACACAAATCTAAAACACCAAATAACAAAACAAAATAGTTCTATAACTTACTGAACGCTTCACAACAACTTTTATGGGATGATTGCGCGCACATATAAAGTTATTAGTGACACTGAGAATTTTGACTGTCAAATCTGATTTTAACATGCCAAGAGAAGCATTTAATCAGGTAGCAACTTTATTGAAAGAGACTAATCCTGTAGAGAATTTAGTATCAGATGACCCGTAAAGAACGAAAAGGTTGGTTTCAAAGTTAGGGATATAATGTCAAAATATTGATTGTTGTGTTAATTGGTGCATGATCTATTACAATGCCCATGCAATCGCGATGACTTGCCGATTTTGTGGTGTGAATAGATTCAAACAAATGGGGGAGAAATAATAAAAATTAGAAAAATACTCCATACAAACAACTCATTTATTTTCAGCTCATACCCTGACTTCAGAGATTATTGGCTTCCATGCGTACAACCCCATAGATGATTGACATAGTATTGAATCTGTTGATGCTAACTCAATAAGTCATTCATCACATGGTGATGCCTGAAGACATTTTAACCATACTCGAATTTTTCAGCTGAAGTACGTAATGTTAGATTTGGGTCATGTGTGGATGGCTTCACCATGACTAGTAAATGAGACGGTAATATTCATCGTCTCATAATTTTCAGACGCAAATGTCGGCTTACGTTGCATATAATCAAATCTAAAAACCGGAATATTTCGACGTAAATTAGGCAGAAATAAAATTACCGACCCTCAATTTAATGTCAGAACAAATCAAACGTAAATCTAAAGTCAATCCTTAGATATCATCGGTTTTGTGTCTGATCTGCGTCTAATCTAGCCGACGCAAATATGCTTAATTTCTGCCGCGCCAATCCCAATTAATGATTTGAAATGTGCTATAGCAAAATTAAAATTTGAACTCGAAAGAAGCACAAGTTATTATTTTAATTGAGAGTTTTCCTTAGAGATAATCTCTTTGCAAGATGTAATAAAATGCAAAGCTTGCTCTTATAGGAATCCAAACCTTTTATCCTTTAAATTAAATGGATAGGCTATAGGACCTTAAAAAAAACCCTAATTATTATTCAATTCTTTAGTATGAAATACAAAATTCCATCATTTATGTTTCATATATGCAATCATTAAAGTATTTAAAAAAATTTAAAATAAAAACTTTTCGGTGGTAGCTTTGTTTATGTCTAATGATATGAATGGAAGCATTAATTTAAATATTAATATTTTTGGATCTTGGTTTAATAAATCATTTTTTGAAATTTGCATACATATTACATTGGATCTTGGTTTAATAAATCATTTTTTGAAATTTAAATACATATTACACAATTCTTATATATTTAAATATACAACATCTAAATATTGAAATTTATTTATGCAACATATATAATTAATATTTAAATATATTTAAAAAACTAATACATTGATATTAGCAATTTTTTTTTTATTCAAATATTTTGATATGTGTTCGACATGCAATATTTATATAAAAATTACATTTTTAAAAATTAAGTTTGTAACATATAAAAATTATACATTGAGGCATTTACATACTACATATTATATATATATATATATATAAAACCTATTTTAATTTTTACATTAATATATTTCAAATTAAAAAGAAATGAAAGGCGTCCTTTTATGCATAGAAAGTATGTAAAAAATGAACATTTAGACACTGGATATGTAAATACTTTTGTTTTTAAAGAATGACTAGAGACTATTATACGAGTCTTCTGTCACCTGTAATGTGATTAACAATTCGAGTACCGCCTCTCTAAGATCAACTGTGCTAGAGGAGAAATTATTACATATGGAGGGCGTATGCTCTCCAATCATAGCTATCACTTTAATAATAAAAGTGGGACCCACTATTATGTAGGCTTTAAATCAAGAAGGTTGCACAACTTTTACAGAAAGTGCTAAGGAAGAGAAACGATACTATTTCCAAAGCTAGGAGGGAAGGGGCTGTGGAAGAGGATGACCAGGCGATCAGGACCATCCCAGGTTCATAAATAATTTACTCAATTTTGAAAACAAAAAATTTCATTCCAAACACTATTACCAGTCATTTAACCCTCATGATACAAAAATTGTTGTTAATGAACTTTGGGACTCTAAGGGATCGCTTTTAAGAGGAGCAAAAACCCAAAGTCATTTGATCAGATGTTGAAGGGTCATCAGAATGATTGTTAACACAGGAAGATTGTTGACCATCATCTTCAAGCTTTAGTCATATCTCTAAAGGAGAAGAAGTCAGCCTACTTTCTCCTCGGTCTCTAATTGCATCAAATGAGTAGGTGAATTTGAAATATTTGAGGAAAGTCATGTCAAAGAAAAGTTTTAGTTGGAGTTTGATCTAAACATAGGCTCGCCATTTCTAAGAACAATAATGTTGGAGGAAGGGCAAGGCTCCGACCAAAAATTTTGACTCCTCCATCCCTTTACCTTTCAAGAAGAAACTGAAGGGAGTTAAGGGCTACTGATGTTCACTATAGGAAGAGTGGTTGAAAGTCTTCCTCATCTCAAAATCCAATTTTTCCCTAATAAATGTGCTATAGGATTGGTTTTGACAACCTTCAGAGACAGATGAGTATGCTTCGACCATAACTTATGTGCTTTGGTTGAATGGCTTGTAGAAGTTTGTAAATAACCTTCAGCTCAGAGACCTATGCCACATGGTCGCCCAGTACTAGCTACTTGGATTCACAGTCACACATCACTTATCTTCTCTTTATCTTAGATTGAGAGACATGGCTTTATAATATAAGATGAAGGTGAAATAAATCAATGCATACGTAAGAGTAGCTGAGGACGGACGACCTTAGTAGAGGCTCAGCTGGAGGATGCTGAGAAGGAGCTGGAGATCATGTTTGAGTGGGTATTTGTTGTTCAACATTAGAACATAGAACTAACAGAATAGATGACCACAATGAAGATGAATATTAGCGTCAATTTTTGATGTCACACATGTAAGGTGTCTACTTGTCTGGCTCGGGATGATTCACCATTCATTCATAGCATCTCATAGCTTAAGACACCCTTCCAATACCTCCTGGTGCGTGTTCAGAAGACAAAACTAGAGTCTGCGATGATTCGGCCTTACCCGAGAGAATCCATCGTTAGACGAAATCACCCAGGAAATCAAACATGGTTGATGTTCATTATGGTGTTTAGACATCCCTCAATATCCGTTCAGAGCCTCCCTGCGGTCACGGGAGGTCACAGAGTCCTTCTACTCGTGCTACAAAAAAATTAGGGTTTGAAACACCTTACCCGCGCCATGTCCAAAGCGTTTTTTGCCAACATACTTTCTAATCAAAGGATGAGAAAAACACTCATTTTCGAAGTTAAGGGATCATAATTTACTCATATGTGATCTCTTATAGCTTTCGGATCAAAAAAAATCCTTCGTTAGGTGCTCCGACATAAATTAGAGTTTTTGGAGCTAGAGCATTGTCTAGGTGCCCAAAATGCCTTCATGCATGTTCAAAACCTAGCCCTAGAAGTATGGTGCTAGTTTCTAGACCTTAGGCGCTAGACCCGGCACAAACTTCCTTCACACATGTTCAAAATTTTAAGTTATCTAGAGAAATGACAACATACATCACCAAGCAGACTATCTTTGCATATGACTTCGATCCTTTTAACTTGAATGTCAACCTCACTTACCAAACTGACATAAATTTCTCATGATTGGAGTTTGCTTCTTTGGAGATTTCTATTTTTCTCTTTTATTCTTAGTTTTTTTATCCCTTAATGGGTTTTCTTGGGTATTTCATTCCAAATACATTAAGACCTTCATAGAAACAAATGATATTTTAGCCCTTGGTGTGAGCCCTGTATTTTGTACACATTAGAAGCAACACAAAATCTGAGCAGGTTTTTTTTTTCATCATGTCTCCTCTACTTTCCTTATTTTTATGTAGGAGGCATTGAAATTTGAAATTGGTCAAATTACATTAGATGTACATACAAGTAAACATAATGAGAGTATAAAGAAAAATCTGAGTTTCACATCGATGTTCCAAACCCCTAATAAATAAAACATTAACATGACTGCAATCATGAAGGCAAACAAATCTGTCGAAATTCTTATTCATCAGATTCTAACACCTAAACTTTAAATTTTACATTTATACCACCTAAGACTTTCGAAATTGCAAGAAAATTACAGCAGTAAAATGAGTACAACTTCGACACAATTTGAAGACAATGACATCACCCTAAATGTTGTTAAATATATAAGATATTGAACCATGTACCAATTAGAATATATTTAGAACATATTTTAAAGTAATTTAAGTGTGATAAAGAAAAATATGCATGACATCCAATTTCTAAACAAAAATGTCAGTACAAAAATGCATTTAAGCATTAGACAAAGATCTATATGTTATCCAATTTCTACATAAAAAAATTCCAGCCAACAATGTTGCAAAAATAATTTTTTAACATATTCAAGGCATCCTCATTTCCCTTATTAACTACTGCAATTGTGATTTGTTCACGTAACTCTACTATTCCCTCAATACCTTCTCCAACTTGTCCCGTCATATAGTATATCCTCTTCAAGTTCTAACATTGCCCATCCAATTCGATACTAATGTCTCAGGTGATATGAATTATTGATCTGTATAACAAATATTGAACTCCTGTTTCTTTTTAGAGGGATTTAAATGTATGAAATTATGCACCGCTGATGTATCATCGACTATATTTACATACTTCTCAAAGCATAAAACATATTCAGGAAGGAAAGAAGTTTTAGATTGTCAATATTGTTTTATTTTACATTTAGCAAATAAGCCATCGTCACCTCGATCTAAAGTTTCAACTTTAGCAACAGGTTTCCTGAGAGAGGCGCCTTCATCATCATGTGATCCTCACAATTTTCTTCTTGATAGGATGGTTGGTCCTTGGTCTCGCCAACACCACGACTATCACATGTTATAAAAGGGTATCGATTTAAAGCCTATAAATCAAATATCCTTGAATACAATTAGAGGAACTTCATTGGCAAGGCCAAGTCTGACGAGAGCCTCAGTGGAAGGTTCTCCTGGTCCTTTGGTATGTTAGGAAGCTCTCCCTCCACAAGTTCAAATTAAGAGAAACATTCCCTTAACAGCTAGATTCTTGTAGAGAAAATATGATACCTCTTCTGTCAAACTCACCCTTCACAGTGTGTCCTCGAAGGGGTTCAATTAGATTACATATATCTTGAATAAATCTGAGGAAGAACTCTCATCAGAAACTTCATCTTTCTAAAAAAGTCTTAGATTTCTTTGGTGATTCTTCCATCAACTAAAGGAGAGTCATCTACTTCTATGATGGAGATTCACCTCCATACGGGCTCTTTGGATGCTCCTTTCCATCGAAGGGATTTTACTCAACTCGATAACAAAATCTCTAATGAAATGTACACCACAGTTTTTTTGCGACACTTTAAAAACCACAGAGGGAGTTTGTCACTTAATTTTTAATAAGTGTTACAATTAATGTTCTTTATGACTTCTAACTTCTCTTATGTGTCTCTCATTTGTGTATTTTAGACAACGTAGTGACGAACTACATGTAGGACCTACCCGACTTCACTTTCATTCAACATTACCACCATAACAAAAACCTAGGATCAGACCAAACAAGATCTCAATAGCCAAACTGAAAATGTAGGAAGAAACATTTCCCTTTGAGGAGCCAAGGTGCCTAATAGAAAAGCAGATCTATCTTGTTAACACAGCTTGAGAAACTATTCCCTAGACACGGAGCACAAAGTGCCCCGAGGTGAAGGCTTGTCCAATTGTGTTATTGAGCAAAGACTAGTCAAGTTTCACATAGGATTAACCAATGAGCACCCTATGTGTCTCTCATTTGTTTCATCTTGACACCAAAGATGGGCATCATACTAGCACTGCCTCACACCTACATTATAGTCTTTTCGTCAAGACATCGGGGAAGAACGTCGCACAGTACAAAATGTGTTTCATTTATTATTTTATTGCTTTTCTCCTTTGTGTATAAAAGGGGAGTCAAAAGAAGATCTTGGGATGGTTTTTCTAGTGAAATCCCTCCCTTCCTCTCTTTCACTAACATCCTGTAAATCAAGGAACCTCTGACGGGTCTGATTTTTCGGTTTATCATAGATAAGAACTAAATATATTTTCGTAGATTTTCTCTCAGAACTCTCATCTCTCTCTCTCTCTCTCTTTCTTTGTCTCTCTCTCTCTATATTTCATTTTCTTACTGCAATTCAAAGTCTGGATTGTATGTACTCATAAATAATACAAGTTCCTAGAGCTCAAAAGAATTCAACAACTTATATGAAACTACCTTTGGAGCTTCTAAGACCAAATATATTTACTGCATGTCAACCAATTTATTTCTTTATATATATATATATTAATCATCTGCATTTCACAAGTTATTACCCAAATTAAAATCAAATCAGAGAAAGCGAAATGGCATAAATCTGAATTCAGCTATTTATAAAAATAATATTTTTCTTTTTCTTAATTCGTAAAATATCATATTTTTCTATTAATTTGCGGATGTTAGATATGCAATCATTTTATTAAAACGTTTTAAAATAATAATAATAAGATCCAGTACAGCACCCCAATATCGAAACAATAGAACATTGCCATATGATCGGAATACATTCTTTATGATTCGTGCAATATCAACATCACATAACCTTCTTCTAATTTTCTCTGTACTAACGCACACTCATTGCTGCATATGATGGTAGCTACTTTCCATTTCACCTACCGTTCTGCCCCAACTGACCTATAAATACACCCACTCTCACCGAACTTCTGCAAATTTCAGCTGTAAGCCCCATCCAATCGCTGCAAATTAAATGGCATTTTCGCCTTGGACTGCCGGCGTAGCTGCAGCGGCGATCATAATCGCGGCGGCAATCTGGCGGCGACTCCACTTCCGCCTCCCTCCCGGCCCCCGGCCATGGCCGGTGGTCGGAAACCTCTACGACATCAAACCGGTTCGATTCCGATGCTTCGCAGAGTGGGCTGCGAGATATGGTCCGATCATGTCGGTGTGGTTTGGGACGACGCTGAACGTGGTTGTGTCGAGCTCGGAGCTAGCAAGGGAAGTGCTCAAGGAGAAGGATCAGATGCTGGCCGATCGTCCTCGGAGTAGATCGGCGGCTCGATTCAGCCGTAATGGAACGGATTTGATTTGGGCGGATTACGGACCGCATTATGTGAAAGTTAGGAAGGTCTGCAATCTGGAGCTGTTCTCGCCGAAGCGGCTTGAGGCGTTGCGGCCGATTAGGGAGGATGAGGTTACTGCGATGGTGGAATCTATTTTTCGGGAGACGACGCGAAAGGGTATCCATCTTTGTTTTTTTTGTTTTCCTTTGTTTATAATGATTTTGCGCGGACGCATTCGATTTCAAACAATTTTAGGGGTGTTTTGTCGCATACTATTTACGAAATTTAGTTATGAATTTAACTTAAATTCTTTCATACATAAAAGAAAAATAAAAATTAAATCCAATGGGTTCCGTTAAATCAAACGTAAATCTGGATGTTAAATCCGATTTCAAAGAAATTCAAGTCGCAACCAAAAACCTCCAGATACGAGTTTCTAATTTCTTGCATTTTAAATTTGTTGAGATTTCATTATTTTATGTTAAGACGTGAAATTAAATCCAATGGGTTCCGTTAAATCAAACGTAAATCTGGATGTTAAATCCGATTTCAAAGAAATTCAAGTCGCAACCAAAAACCTCCAGATACGAGTTTCTAATTTCTTGCTTTTTAAATTTGTTGAGATTTCATTATTTTATGTTAAGACGTGGAATTTGAGTTTTGGGGTTGGTGTGGTGTGGAAGTGGAGGTGCCCACGATATTTGTTGACCAGAATTTGTTGAGATTTCATTATTTTATGTTAAGACGTGGAATTTGAGTTTTGTGGTTGGTGTGGTGTGGTAGTCGAGGTGCCCACGATATTTGTTGACCAGATTTAATATTTTAAAGGAATGGAATCGCGTATGCAGATTAAGCGAGGATTAGTAATTCATCCGGCTAATTTCAAATTTATCACGCCTCTTGATTAAATATGAAATTGAAATCATGGTCGAAGATTACTTTGGAAATATATGTTCGTTGTAATTTATTATCTTTTATTCATTTAAAAGAGTTGAACCATTTATTCTGAGCATAAGCCAGGATTAATTGTTCACCCCCATAGCTGGTCCCCCTGCATTAGTTTTTTTAATTTTAAATAAGGTGCGAGAGATTCGAACATAATTTTTCTTTTTTTCGATATTAAGTATTAAAGTGAAAAAATGTGAAGGTCCTCGGGCGGACCCATGTAGGTTCCAAGGGAGCAATTACTGAAATATCAGTTTTGTCTTTGTCTTTAGTGTCACTTTTTTCGTTGTTGCAGTTTCCCCCACTCTGAGTTTATGGAAAAAAATTTACGTGCGTAAGACGTACGCAGCGCTGCGTACGTTAGATATGCTATTCATACAGTATTGGGGAGTTATATTCACGTTATACACCCTTGTAACTTACTTGTAACCTACCTGTAATCTACCTATAACCTACAAATAAATTTTGCGCTTCTGTTTTTATATATTTGTAGATTACAGGGGAATTACAAGAGATAACGCGGTTATGACCCCTAATACCGGAGATATAACACGGATATAAACGGATATAACCCCCAATACCCTACCCTCTGTATAACCTCCTAACGTACGCAGCACTGCGTAAGTCTTACGTACGCAAATTTTTCTCGAGTTTATTGGAGACTTTTTGCACTCTAGAAAAAGAGACTGATTTTGCCCTAGGACAACTCAATAATTAATAGAGAAGATCATTTCATTAATATGATGAAATTTGGGCTACATATTTTATGATATGTTCCTCATTAATTTTATAGAAAAAAGATATGATTAGTTTAAAAGATTTAGTGTGATGGCATTGGTTTAATAATTAAATTAAGATCAACAATATTTTGTTTAAATTGTCAATTTGAAATTAACCGCGCGTCTATTTTAAATCATTAATCATAAGTAATGTCTTTGACATTTTGATCAAATTACCTTTTGTTTAAAAACAAATGTTATAACTTAATGAAAATTTTTACAAAGTACTACAAATCAATGAAACTCCTTGCTGTTTGTTATTTGTTTTTTTCAGACAAGGTTGGGCAAAGCCTGGTGGTTAGGAACCACCTTTCAGGTGTGGCCTTCAACAACATTACAAGGCTGGCATTCGGAAAACGTTTTGTGAACTCCGAGGGCGTGTTGGATGAGCAGGGCACAGAATTTAAGGCCATAGTGGCCAACGGTCTCAAATTCGGCGCATCTCTCTCTCTTGCCGAGTACATTAACTGGATCAGATGGATAATTCCACTGGATGAGGAGGCATATGCCAAGCACGGCGCTCGAAGGGATCGCCTGACCAGAACCATCATGGAAGAGCACACGCGAGCACGTCAGAAAGATGGCGCAAGGCTGCATTTTGTGGATGCGCTGCTCACTCTTCAGGAGAAGTATGATCTCAGTGAGAATACTATTATCGGATTACTTTGGGTAAGTACCATAAAGTTCTTTTTTTTTTGTCCCTGCTGGATTCATTATTATCTAGATCTTGTGTTTGTTCCTATCTAATTGATGTTTTTTGTGGTTTTTAGTTAGTTTTGTTAGAGTTATGCGGGCAATTAAGTTTTCGTAACTGCTTGGAAAGGTGATTTTGGTCTGGTTTTGATAGAATGATGAGAATATGAAATTATTAACTCTTGTAGTAGATTAATAACATTTGTTAATTACTTCGAAGTTTGTTAGAAATAAATTTATATTTTTTGAAGTTTGTAAATATTTCCATTTGAAGAGATTTTTACGTTTGGTGACAATTTTGGTAAATCATGTAAATTTAGATTTAGTAAATTTAAGATTTTTATAAAAAAATGAGAGGAATTTTTGAATTTACTAAATTTAGGATTTAAAATTTGTCTTTTTTATTTGATAAATTTAAGTTAAATCACACCTAAATCCATTATTAAAACAACACCTAAGTCTGTGTTCTTTTTTTTCTAAATCTTCTTCAACTTAATTTTTGCAATTATTGAAATCCTTGAATTTTATCACTATCTCAAGGATCTGTCTGGAAACAGATGACACGATCAGATTGAATTTATGAGATTTACTAAATCTTACAGGACATGATCACAGCCGGCATGGACACCACCGTAATCTCTGTCGAATGGGCCATGGCGGAGCTCATCAAGAACCCCCGAGTCCAACACAAGCTACAAGACGAACTGGACCGCATCATCGGCACCGATCGAATCATGACCGAATCCGACTTCCCCAACCTCCCCTACCTCCAATGCGTCGTCAAGGAATCCCTCCGCCTCCACCCTCCCACCCCCCTCATGCTCCCCCACAAATCCACTGCCGACGTCAAGATCGGCGGCTTCGACATCCCCAAAGGCTCCAACATTCACGTCAACGTCTGGGCCATCGCCCGCGATCCCGCCGCCTGGAACAACCCCCTCGAATTCCTGCCGGAGAGGTTCCAGGAAGAGGACGTCGACATCAGGGGACATGATTTTAGAGTTCTCCCCTTCGGCGCGGGACGAAGGGTCTGCCCCGGCGCGCAGCTGGGAATAAATCTTGTGCAGTCCATGCTGGGGCATCTGATCCACCATTTTGAGTGGTCGTTGCCGGAAGGGGTGAGGGCGGAGGAGGTGGATATGAGGGAGAATCCGGGAATGGTGACTTTCATGCACACGCCGCTGAGGGCTGTGGCGACTCCCAGGCTTCCGGCTCATTTGTATCAACGGGTGCCTGTGGATATGTGAAGGCAATGTCGTTCTTTTGTGTGATTTCAATGGGAGAGGGAGAGGATGGAGTGGACGTGCGGAGTTTGTATTGCTTGAAGTTTAATTTGAAATGATTTTAGAAACTGTTTCTTACAGTGAATGTGCAGGTTCATACTGAAGCCATACTTCTGTCTGATGAGTTTATTAGTATCTTTGTGAATGGTTCTGATGTTAAGCAACCTGTTCAATATGAGTGCAGATTAGATCTCTTGTAGTACTTTTGCTCTTATAATTCCACTTCAAAGGGGAAAAATACTACATCCGGACTCCGGAGTTCAGTGATGAAGCGTCATGTATCAAGTAAACGTCATCATTTTTAACACTGACCAATGTCGTGAGGCCCACTTGACACGTGACGTCCCACCATCAGACTCCGGATACAAATTACATTCAGAGTCTGGATATGATATTTTCTCTTCAAAGGCAAAGAAGGCGCATGAGAACGTAAATAAATTTAAAAATGGCAACAAACAAATAAAAGAAATTTGACACTGATGTTCCAACCCTTCTGCCTATAAGGGCTGCCAATGACATCGCCTGTGACCTTGGTATCAAATTATAGATGTTAGATATGTAAATTCATAAGGACTGTGTGGTACATATGTGAAAAAAGATAAAATTTTGGGTTATCGAGAGAAATGACGGCATACACCACCAAGCAGGCTGTCGTTGAATATGACCTCGGTCCTTTTAACTGGAATGTCATCCTCACTTACCAAGCTGACTTAAAATTCTTCGTGATTGGAGTTTGCTTCTTTGGGCATTTCTATTTTTCTCCCTTTTTTCTTAATTTTTTTATTCCTTCATGGTTTTCTTCGGTGTGAATGTAAGCTTCTTGTTTGCTTAATTTTATATATAATAACATGAATTTATTTGTAATTTTCCAATTAGGGGTGATTTGTTACTCACAAATCAAACCTCAAGAGCAACAAATGATATTTTAGCCCTTGGTGTGAGCTCTGTATTTTGTACACAGAAGCAATACAAATTCTAAGCATTTTTTTTTTTTCATCATGTCTCCTTGACTGTACCTATTTTTATGTAGGAGGCATTGAAATTTGAAATTGGTCAAATTACATTAAATGTAGATACAAGTAAACATAATGAGAGTATAAGGAAAAAATCCGAGTTTCGAAACCCCTAACAGATGAAATATTAACGAAACTGCAATTATGAAGACCAATAAATCTGACAGAATCTAACACTAAACTTTAAATTTTACACTTATACCATCCAAGATGTTCAAAATTGCAAGAAAATTATAGTAGTTAAATGAGCGGTCAAATTACATTAAATGTAGATACAAGTAAACATAATGAGAGTATAAGGAAAAAATCCGAGTTTCGAAACCCCTAACAGATGAAAAATTAACGAAACCGCAATCATGAAGACCAATAAATCTGACCAAATTTCTAAACTTTAAATTTTACACTTATACCATCCAAGACTTTCAAAATTGCAAGAAAATTATAGTAGTAAAATGAGTACAACTTCGACATAACTTGAAGACAAGGACATCACCACAAATGTTGTTAAATACGTAAGATATTGAGTCATATACCAATTAGAATCAATTTAGGACATATTTTAAAGTAATTTAAGCGAAAAATATGAATGACATCCAATTTCTAAACAAAAAATGCTAGCAAAAAGATGTATTTAAGCAATAAACAAAAGATCTATATGTTATCCAATTTTTACACAAAAAATTTTAACCAACAATGTTGCAAAAATAAATTTTTAACATATTCCAGGAATCCTGATTTCCCTCATTAACTAGTGCATTTGTGATTTGTTCACGTAACTCTACTATTTCTTCAATACCTTCTCCAACTTGTCATGTGATATATTATATCCTCTTCAAGTTCTAACATTGCCCATCCAATTTGATACTCATATGTCTCAGGTGATATGAATTATTGATCTCTATCATAGATATTGAACTCATTAGTTTAGAGGGATGGAGACGTATGAAATTATGCAACGCCGATGTATCAGCTATTGTATTTACATGCTTCCCAAAAGAATAATTTGGTATATCACGAAGAATAATCTACTTATTTTCTGAAGCACCAAAAGCTTTATCAATCACTCCGCCTAAATATGAGTATCTTTTATTAAATATTTCTCATTTTTCATGCATCAATTGACAACCTATTCGAAAATCTGGAACATGGTATTTTGTATCTAAATATGGTTTTAAAAACCGTCATTGCATTGGGTTCCATCGTCAACAAGATAATAGTTTCCTAGGTAAGAGTAAAATGGACTAATTTAGTAAAATTTTGATTTGTACTACAATTTTTCCTGTAAATAACTAAATTGTACGTGGCATAGAAAAGTTATATTTTTATTACAAGTGGGAAACTTGAAGATCTGGCTATCATGTGCACTACTTCTCACTCTGACATGATAAAAGTAAAACACATGTTGCGTTGGCATTCCCCAGTGACTTCTATGCGCCACTTTCTCGCTATCTCTGGATTGAGCAGTCACATGAGTTCCATCAATTGCTCCTATACAATCCTGAACGAGAAAATTTAATCAATATTTTTTATATTTTTTTTTCTAGAGATTTTAAAAGTAATACTAATGAAACATTCATTGAAATAGGGTACATATCTATAATCATACAATATCTCTCGTGGTATATTTAGAATAATGGATCTCTATGCTTCACAACTTCAGTGACTATACCTTTTAAAGCATTCAATTCAATAGAGAAATTTCTACTTATTATCTTAGTAGAGTGTTGAAGACACTCACATGCTGCCCTATTTGATTTATTATGTGACAATATATATAAGGTAATCACTCATACTTCCCTTATTGTAGTCCTAGATGATCCATTGACTTCATCAGCACTTTCCAAATCATCTAATAGGTCTATAAAAAATAATTTTGATACATGAAACCTTTCAAGATAATCAATTAGTAACTCTTCAATCCATTTATCTCTGATATGTGATGAATTCATGATTGGCGTCTTACAAATATATTAGGGGGCATTTATATATATACCACCTAATTTTTGTTTATTTATATATTTAACATCTAAATTTAACATTTTATATTCATATCTTCCAAATTTTTCATATCACATCATAAATAACACTATTTTTTAAATATAAAATATATACCCATATTGTAAAAATTAAAGTTAGGTGTTAGATATGTAAATCCATAAGAAATAAATAATTAAATAAATAAATTAACTAAAAAAAAATTAAATCCATAAGAATTACGTGATGTATCTCTTTCATTAATGGTAGGATTAAGATTTTGGAATAAAATAGACCGGCATTTACTAAGAGTTGCTAGGAAGTGTCATTGTCGGATCTGATGGCCCCAAATCCCAATCCGATAAGCTATTTATTTTTTATGTATTGACATATCTTCCTTTTTAAAATTTGATATTTATATTTATAATATGTTGATGCTGCCTAAATCGACATATGAAACTTTGTATAACGGTTTTAGAAAGTATATTGACGGTGATTTTTTTAATATAAAAACTTGCCTAACAACACACTTCGAAGACAATATAACGACGCATCCAAAGGCAGTGCAACAACACACCACTATTATGGTGTAACTCTAGATAGCGATTGCTCACAACTATTGTACTTAGAATATGGTGAGCTTCTCCGAACTCTTAGAGTCCTCTCCTCACAAGTTCCCGCTACGACTTATAGTTTATATGGTTCACTGCAATTTTATCGCCTTACTTCTGCCTTGGAGGGCAACTAAAGCCACTACAACTCCCCACTATTGGTTATATAACCAACTATGACATATGTGACATATATAACCAACGATGACTTTTAACCATAATCTCTACGACAAACTAGTGCTACAACCGCCATCTAAAACATTCATGGAAGGCTACTGCTCTTATATCAATCGATAATGGACTATCATTGCACATCAACATTATAATTATATCTTCTCTAATTGAAGAAAGTAGTGGTCTTTGCACTAACAATTACATAGTATTCTGTGTTATTTTGAGATGCTACTTTATTACCCTACCGCGAAAGATCTTCTGACACATCAATTGATCCTTTTCTTCCAAAGATTATTTTGAGGCATTATAGTTGAAGAATTACTTGTACTATAAATATGAGTGTTATAAATGATATAAATGAAAAATAATACACCATCTTGCCATCTCCTTATTTTTCTTTCAACCTCCCAACAAATATGAGACCCCTTCGGTTCTCATGAAGTTTTTGATATATATGACCGAATTAATCATATGTCCCATGTTAGACTATGACAAAAAAAGATAGATCAAAGAACCGTAAGAATTCATGTATAATAAATATTTTATTTGTAATGTATAAGCCAAATGACAACTATATGTAAGTGGGTGCAGAACTCGATGTTTTTTTGAACTCTACACAACAAATGAATTGATATCATCCTTTTTAAGTGTGTTTGATTTTGAAAGAAATTTTCTGATAATCCTTTGATAAGTATGTCGATAAGTTGATCACTTATGATTACAAGCGGGGTGTATAATAGATCGCTATTGTTAGTGGTGTGAACGAGTAGAGTTGAGTTGTGTTCGAGCCACTCTCGACTTGAGATAGTGTTATATAAAATGACAATTAGAATAATGATGGTTTAAGTTCGCATCTTCAATATAGCGTAATAACGCACTTCGAAGATAGTGTAATGACACACCCTAAAGACGGTGTAATAACACACTCCTAGTATGGTGAAAATATTTGCAGTAACTGCTTACAATTGTCATGCTCATAATATGGTGACCTTCTGAAGCTCTCTCCACACAGGTCCCCACTACGACCTACGATTTATATGGTTTACTGCAATTGTATCCTCTTACTGCTACCTTGGTAACCAACTGAAGCTGCTACAACTCCCCACGACAAGTTATATGACCAACTACGACTTACGTGACTCACAACACATGCGTCTCCCAATTTCGGCCACTATGGCCTATGAATGTTATTGCAGCTCAACACTACAATTTACGTAACTAACTATGGCCTACGTGGTTCACAACTCATGCTGATCTTAACTTCAGCCTTTGTGGCCTATAGATATTTTTGTAGCTCACTGCTACAACCTATGTGACCAACTACGACATAAACAGCTTATGTTATTGATTACGTGGCACACAAATCA